ATGGGTATTAAAGAGGGCATGTTCTGCATGGAGCATTGGGTGTTATATGCAAACAATGAATCATGGAACCCTACATCAAAAACTAATGATGTAATATATGGTGTTTAACATAACAAAAAAAAGTCAAAATACCTAAATATTAATGTGATACAATAATAAAGACTTAAGAAAGCTCAAAAAAAAAAAAAAAAAGAAACCACTTTCTTTGCTCATCCATAAGAAGCAACTCCTCATCTGTGAAGTTTTCTCATCAGATTGCAGCAATCTAGTCACTTCTAATTCTATTAAGAAGCTAAGGATATACCTCAGTACTGACCTTCACTTTCATCCAGGGAAGAAGTATAAAAAACTGTTCTTTCCCGCAGCAAGCGTTTTGAAATTGTGATTGGTTTGTGCCTTCTTGCTGTCACTCGAGGTGGAGGCACTGGGGGTGTAGCACTTTCCTCAGGTGGACCTGAATAGATCTGTAAAAGGAGAATATTTTCAGGAAACAATTAGAAAGATCGAGTTTTTGTCTCCCTAATGCTAACTACCAGTTGATGCCTACCTGCACTACATCTAGAGTCTGACAGAGCAATTCTAATATGACTAAAGGAATTGGGATTTTTAAAATCACTCTAGCTACCAGCAAGTGTTTAGAAGTCGCCTATCATGTTTAAGACACAGGACCTGGCACTTCACAGCGTGGAGGAAAGAATGCAGACAAAAACTGCACAGTCCTGGATTTCCACTTACTGCCTGTAAAACCTTAGGCAAGTCACCTCCTATCTCTGAGCTTTAGATTCCTCATCTGTAATATGGGGAGAGCACCATGTACCTCACAGGGTGTGATGAGAATCAAGTAAAAAGGTAGTCAAGGTACACTGTATGGGTAGGGGTGGGGTGTGGAGGGTTACTAAAATGCACCCAATGTTTCTGAAAGGATACCAAAGAAATTGGTTAAATTGTTTGCTTCAAGACAGGAATAATGAGTGGCTGAGGAAAGGATGGAGGAAACTTATTTCTCACTCCTATATCATTTTGATCTTTTAAAATTTCATACCATGTAGCATTACTTATTCAAAAAAGAAAGGGCGAAAAGAAAATGTCTTATACGTTGTAAAAAGTGCTGGACAAATGAGGGAGAAGCTATCATTACAAAATTTTTTTAGGCAGCGTCCATGCTCAGCACAGAGCCCAACATGGGGTTTGAACTCACGACCCTGAGATCAAGACCCAAACCGAGATCAAGAGTCAGATACCTAACTGACTGAGCCAACCAGGCACTCCTAATGATTACAATTTTTATATAGTGTCATATGTATTTGAAAATCTTTCTTGTCTCTGGGGGAGATTGAGCTTTTGGCCAGAGTGCACACATTTTGGGAGGACACACACATGGTGAGGGAAGAAGGGGACAACTGTGTAGTGCAAAAATGAAATCAACCCCGATGATTAGTGCAAAGAGAAATGCCAGAGACCAATATCAGGCTGCAAAGTCACAAAAATTACATGACTGGGAACACAAGGAAACCTTGTGTAAAAGCTGAACAATGATAGAAAGCAGGGCATGTCTCAATGTCTCATGGCATAGAAAAGAGAGAATATGACATAGTAGCTGTCAGCTAAGGCCATACAGTTTCACAACCTATAGTAATAATATTCTAAATAACTACCACTTTGTGAGTATATGTTTATGCACTATAGGAGTTAAGAATATCCCTTGCTATTTATCAAACACATCAGGGCCTATGCACTGAGTGTTTCATCTACCTGGAGTGCTCTTCCTCCAGATATCCATATAGTTTGCTCTCTTAATTTCAGTAGGCTATGATCAAATATATTCCTCTCAGTGAGTCTTCCAAGTGAATGTATCTAAAATTTTTACATACCTCCCTGTATGCAATGCCTCCTATCCCCCTTCCTTTTTTTTTCTCCTTAGCATTTCTTATTACTTCCTAACAAGACATATTGTAATTATTTATTTTTCTGTTTTTGTGTCTGCCGCTCTAATCTATTGTAAGCTATATGGAAGTACATTATCATGTTCACTGCTATATCTCCAGCAACTAGAAGACTGACTGGAATTGCTGGGTCAAAGAAAAACACATTTAAAATACTGACATAAAAGGCCAAACTGTCCTCTGAAAAGATTATAATAGCTACTTACACTTCTAGCCAAGATAGGACTAAAGGTATTAGGTTTACATCTTCTGCAAGTAATAATTTAAAAACTAGAAAAAATACACGTAACAATGGGTTTCAAGGCACTGGAAATCTGGTAATGAAAGACAGTGATCTATGAGAGACAGGAAAAAGAAATGAGGTGAGCCTCATGATATTCCCAGCTTACAGTGTGGAGAGAGTCTGCAAGCCATAATATATGGAGGGAAGCTCAGGGGGAGCCCATCAGTCTGCTTAAGTTGAAGATACTGAGTTGCAGGTATGGAGAGGGCAAGAAAGATAATTTTTCAGGGCAAAATATCAGAGAGAAGATAGCTGCACAAAGGGCTCTGGAGAACTGCAGGGGGGTCCTCTTTAACACTTTAGCTGAGTAGTGATTAATACTTACGTGTGAGGAAAGAACCACAAAACTGAATTAAAGGGATTAATTACCTAAGATCATACAGTGCCTAGAAGAGTTCCTGTTTCACCAGCCACAGTGGAAAATCAAATAATTAAGTGCTGTGGGTGGTGGGCACTGCACATGTGGAGCATGTAGGCAGCTGGCCAGCTCCAGCAGCATGAAGGCTGAGTTGCAACTTGGGTGTCATCTTTCTTTTGTCTTAAAGTGGGTGTTTATCAGTATAAAATTCCCTCTTAAAACTGCTGTGCTGCATCCCATAAGTTTTTTCCATTTTCCTTTATTTCAAAATATTTCTTTATTTCCCTTTTGATTTCTTCTTTGACCCACTGGTTGTTCAAGAGTGTGTTGTTTAACTACCACATATTTGTGAATTTCCAGTTTTCCTCCTGTTATTAATGCCTAGTTTCATATCATTCTGGTCAAAAAAGATACTTGGTATGATTTCAATCTTCATACATTTGCTAAGGCTTGTTTTGTGACCTAGCATATGATCTATGTTTTAGAAAGTTCCACGTGCACTTGAGAAGAATGTGTATTCTGTTGCTGTTGGATGCAGTGTTCTATAAATGTTTGTTAGGTTCATTTGGTCTGAGGTTTAGTTCAAGTCCAATATTTCTTTATTGATCTTCTGTCTGGATGCATTGTTGAATGTGGGGTATCAAATTCCCCTACTATTATTTTTTGTTGTCTATTTCTCCCTTCAGATCTTAATTTATTTACTTTATTTTAGTGCTCTAATGTTGGGTGCATATATTCTTACAATTGTTACATCCTCTTGAAAAATAGACTACTTTATCATTATATAATGACCTTCTTTGTCTCTTGTTACAGTCTTTGGCTTAAAGTTTACTTTGTCTCATATAAGTAAACTATTCCTGCTTTCTTTTGGTTTCCATTTGCATGGTATTATCTTTTTCCATCCCTTTATTTTGAGCATATGTGTGCCCTTAAAGCTGAGGTGAGTCACTCTTAGGCAGCATATTACTGGGTCTTATTTTTAATCTATTTGGCACTCTATGCCTTTTGATTGAAAATTTTAATACATTTACATTTACATAATTATTGATAGGTAAAGATTTACTAATTCTATCTTAATAATTGCTTTCTGGCTCTTTTGCAATTCTACTGTTCCTTTCCTCTTCTCTTGCTGTCTTTCTTCTAGTGAAGTGATCATTTCTGTACTGGTATGTTTTGATTCCTTTATCTTTTGTGTATCTACTTTGTTTTTTCTTTGTGGTTACCATGAGGCTTCCATAAACAAAAATATCTTTTAAGCTGATAACAACTTACCTTTGATCACACACAAAACCTCTACCATTTTACACCTCTTCCCATATTTTGTTTTTGATGTCAAAATTTACCTCTTTTTATATTGCGTACCTATTAAAAAATTATTGTACCTAGTTTTTTTTTAACACTTTTGTACTTTAACATTTACACTAGGGTTACATAGTTAACATACTACCATATTACAGTATTAGAGTATTCTGAATTTGAGTATATACTTACCTTTACTAGTAGATTTTACATTTTCATATATTTTTATATTACTAATTAGTGGCATTTCATTTCAGCTTGAAGAATTCCTTTCAGTATTTCCTGTAAAGCAGGTCTAGAGTTGCTGAACTCCCACAGCTTTTGTTTGTTTGGTAAAGTCTTTAACTCTCCTTCATTTCTGAAAGATGACTTTTCTTTTTTTTTAACCTTTTAAAATTTTATTTAAATTCAATTAGCCAACATACAGTATATCATTGGTTTCAGATGTAGTATTCAATCATTCATCAGTTGTGTATAATACCCAGTGCTCATCATATCATGTGCCCTCCTTAATGCCCATCACTCAATTACCCCATTCTCCCACCCACCTCCCCTCCAGCAACCCTCCATCTGTTTCTTATAGTTAAGAGTCTCTCATGGTTTTTCTCCCTCTCTGATGACTTCCCATTCATTTTTCCCTCCCTTACCTATGATCCTCTGCCCTGTTTCTTATATTTCACATATGAGTGAAACCATGTGATAATTGTCTTTCTCTGATTGACTTATTTTGCTCAGCATAATACCCTCCAGTTACATCCACGTCGATGTAAATGGTAGGTATTCATCCTTCTTGATGGCTGAGTAATATTCCATTATATATATAAACCACATCTTCTTCTTTTTTTAATTTAAATTCAATTAGACAACATATAGTACATCATTAGTTTTAGATGTAGTGCTCGATAATTCATCAGTTGTGTATAACAATAAATGCTCATCCTATCACATGCCCTCCCTAATGCCCATCCCCCAGTTGCCCCATCCCCCCCACCCACTTCCCCTTCCACAACCCTCAGTTTGTTTCCCAGAGGCAAGAGTCTCTCATGGTTTCTCTCCCTCTCTGATTTACTCCCATTCAGTTTTCCCTTCCTTCCCCTATGATCCTCTGCACTATTTCTTATATTCCACATTATGAGTGAAACCATATGACAATTATCTTTCTCTGATTGACTTATTTCACTTAGCATAATTCCCACCAGTTCCATCCACATTGTTGTAAATGGTAGGTATTCATCCTTTCTGATGGCTGAGTAATATCCCATTGTATATATGAACCACATCTTATTTTATTTTTATTTTATTATTTTTATTATGTTCATTTAGCCGAATATATAACATCATTAGCACATCTTCTTACTCCATTTATCTATGGGAAGGACATCTTGGTTCCTTCCACAATTTGGCTATTGTGGACATTGCTGCTATGAACATTGGGGTGCAGGTGCCCCTTTGGATCACTACATCTGTATCTTTGGGGTAAATACCTAGTAGTACAATTGTTGGGTCACAGGGTAACTCTATTTTTAACTTCTTGAGGAACCTCCATACTGTTTTCCAGAGTGGCTGTAGCAGCTTGCATTC